GCGTCACAAGCGCAGATTGATATAAAACTATAAGAAAATGTACGTGAAATTACAAATATATCTTGATATATATATTTAATGTTCGATCATGAATCGATATCTCTAGCGCAAATTCGTGAATCGGTGACAATCGTTATAGATATATGCTACTTATTGCAATGTATATGTAACAAACGCAATCTTATGGACAAACGCGCATCGTGTTATAATCAATAGTGTATTGATAGTAATGATAGAAGAAACTTAAAGTTCTCTGTATTACATTGCGCTCTCATATTGTTCTCTATGTTATAGGTATTTACCTTCAAACGTGGAATGAGTATAATTACAATTGAACTTCGCTCTAAATGGACTCGTTTAATCGATAAAAAGTTAAAATTTTAAATTCTGTTGCAATGAATTGCATAAATGGGAATAATAAAAACGTCAAAGCGTTCGGAAAACCAATTATTATTCCCAGCAAATACAGAATATAACTATTATATAAAGTTATATAATTTTCTTTTATAACTGCAATCTAAATATGTTTTAGAATTGTACTCTGTTATTTACAGGTTATAATTATATAACACCAACATAACTAAAATATAATATGTTATAATATATAACAAGCGTTTATTTTTATTACATCTATGTTATATAGCATTCTTATATCTAATGATCGGATCATTCACTAGATGGCTTCCGTTTTTTCGTGTCTTTCTCGTACGTAAAATATGATGCATTAATATATATAAGAACGATGATCACAAGATCGCACGACTTGTACTATGGAGTTCACTTTTATAGCAAAAAGAAATGATACACTTTTTGATAATGGAAATTATTATTACAATAGTAATCTTTTTCATTTGAATACATACAGAAAAATGAAAATGAAAATGAATAAATGAAAATAACTTCAATAGCATAAAATACCTAAGAACATACTGGGACACTAGACGCCTAGAATAGCTCTAGGATGATTCTGGAATATCTTGTGTTATTTGGGAGCTAATTAATTTAGAATGGCAAGATACTTTTATGTTATTACCTTTAGTAAAAATATTTTTGATACAGAATATATAATTATAATATTTTTACAAATTAAGTGATATATGAGTGATAGCTTATAATCTCTGCGTACATTAAATACCTATAATTGCTGGGAAATAATAATTTATATTCCAGCTATATAACACTTCAGCAATATATATATAACATTTTAGTAACATAGATTCGCTATGTCTCGTAGCAATGGGCGGAGGGACGCGACGAAATACGATTCGCGAATGTCAGTCGCACGTCGACCGAAGGCATTTTTCCGCAGCCGCTTTCTGTACGCTAATTTGTTGAGATAAAATAATTAATTTCTCAAAAACTATTGCGAATATCGCAAAACAGCACAGGACTTTCTTACTCACTTCAATCCGTTCTACGTTATAGGTATTTACCTTCAAACGTGGAATGAGTATAATTACAATTAAACTTCGCTCTAAATGGACTCGTTTAATCGATAAAAAGTTAAAATTTTAAATTCTGTTGCAATGAATTGCATAAATGGGAATAATAAAAACGTCAAAGCGTTCGGAAAACCAATTATTATTCCCAGCAAATACAGAATATAACTATTATATAAAGTTATATAATTTTCTTTTATAACTGCAATCTAAATATGTTTTAGAA